TTAGACTGTAAAATATTCACGTCATTGTGGATATGCAGCGGGCAAACCTCTTCGTGTATCCTAGCCACAGTCGCCGTGGAACGCGCAGTCAGTGTCCAGAATCCACACAAAGCAAAATTTATTTTTACGGCGAAATCAGCAAAGATCATAATGGTTGCAGTGGTGTCTCTCGTGTTCACATTAAATACGATAATGATTGTATGGTATGATTTTGGCGGAGACAAATTCTTTGAGGAAATGTACTGCCCTTCAGATGATACGTTGGTAAGCTCAATCGTACATGTTTTCCCGTGGATAGATTTTTGTTTGGGATTCGCTTTGCCTTTCATAGTGATCGCAATCTGCTCAACGATTATTATTACCAAGCTGAGACCATCTGTTTCTGCACAAAAGAAAGAGAACGACAAGGTGTCCACAGTGACGAGGACTCTACTCTCGGCAAGTGCATGTTTTCTGATCCTTTTGGCCCCCAGCAGAATCTACAACATTATGTATCCAATACCATTAGTAGATGAGGTGGGTTTTCTGACGTTCCACGTTTTCTCTGTGGTGTCCCAGATGAACGCAGCGGCAAACTTCTTTCTGTACTTTCTGAACGCCCCTATCTTCAGGGCAGATGTAAAAGGTCTACTGTGCTGTGATACACGCTCGGACAATAGTAGGTCTGGATCGGCACTGTAAGTTCTACATGGAACACAAAACCAACGCAAATGGAATGAGGAAAAACAACTGTTGGAGGATGAATGGTAATATAGAACTGATACTGTGAAGGAGAAGGCATGGTTAAAGTTAAACAGAACTTAAATATTTGAAATCTAACTTGATAATAAAAGAACTTGTGAATATAGATAGTTCGTTTCCAGAAATACTTTAGATGAATTAAAAATAGACTAAGGAACGATTCTTTATATTACTTTACTAATTTTACAATAGTCAATCAGATTCCGAGATTTCATAGTTTAATTCTAAAATGGCCAATAGAACTTTTACATATATTCAGTTCTTTTCTGTAAATTTTACAGGAAGTCAAACTGAAAACATGAAACGCCACAAAGTCCGGGTGTGAAAAAAAGAGACAAAGTAGTTTATATCGGAACATTTTCTTTTGCTTTAAATCAAATAAAATTGCTTCTGTTACATCATGAAAGTATATCTGTTTGATACTGTTACACTTTTTCGTGTAGAAATTATAATTTAACATAACTGTAAAAAAAAGACAACGTTGTAATACTGTTTAGAACACAACATTTGATCTATATAACATTCAAATCTTTTTCTTTTTTTTAATTCAGTGGCCTAGACCATTTTTTATTACATCATTAGTTTGACCTGTGGCGTCATAAAATTTGGAAATTTAAATGGAATATGCCGCCATTCACATCAGTGTTTTATGACGTTTCAGATTTGTTTTAGAAAGACGGGTTCACGCTCGGCAGGCACTTTATAAAGAGTGTGGAAATGGTGGTTTATTTTAATGTTGTAGATTCTTATTGTAGCTTCATCGTGAAGTGATGTCAAATTTGCTGTTTCAACATTGTTTTCGATGTTGTTGCTTATTTTTGTTGCTGTGTAGTGTTAAAAAATCATCTTATTCGAAAAAGAAATAAGCAGTCTATGTAAAGAAGTATCATTTCAGTAATTTATGTAATTCACTTTTTAATTATTCATGGTACATTACTTAAACAAAAACAAACACAAAAAAACAAGTTAATTAATATATTTTTATGAATTATTTGTCACATGTTTTCCCACGGCAGAATTTGTTTTTAGATTCAAAGTTGACTTTGTAGTTATCTAACAAGTAACAGTTCATTTTAGAGATTTGTGTAAGAAAAATAATGAGATTCATTTTATACGATGTGGGGTTTTGTAAGTCTCTTTTTGCCGAAATAAAATATAGTAAATAAGGATCATTTTCCAACTTAAGACCCGATTCTTGACAACTATGTTGCAATAATAATAATAATAATAATAATTATAATAATAATGATAACAAAAAGAAGAGGAAGAAGAACATAATTTTTGAAGAATACAAAAATATATTGTTTGCAATTTTTGTGTCATGAATAATTTGTTTGTAGTAATGTAACTTCGATGTAAAGAACGGGTATTTATTATGTTGTTTAGCATAGATATGCGATGTTATTTTATACGTTGTCGTACCAAAAAATCGTGCATAGTAAAACTGGTGAAGAGGTACTTGAAACAGGTATACTTGAAAAAACATTAAAAACAGCCCAAACAAATCATAGAATCATTTTTCTATCTTTATAGTAATGTCAGAGTGACACTTTAATTCTGTTAAAACAAATACCAAATTGTAGGTTATACTCTATTTTTAGATACCACGCACGTATAACCAGGTGTATATGTGTGTGTGGGGTGGAGGTGGGGCTTTGTTGTTGTTGATGTTGTTGTTGTTGATGTTTTTGTTGTTGTTGTTGTTTGTTTTTTTTGTTGTTTTAACTATTGTTTCATTTAAGAACCTTCAAGCAAGTTTTCAAATTTTATGTACTTTTCAGTCATATATCTTTTTTTAATTCTTTTTTAATTTACGACTGTATGTAATGATGAGTTTTGTTTAGAAGTGTTACGTATATCTAAAATAAATGTTCTATTGTCTATTGTTTTCTTCAGACGTTTTTGTTGTCTTTATTTATGCCCTCACGTATCGTGTTTTATAATGACATCTATTAATTTTTATTCATCAGAAATAAATAAATTTGCCCTTCTTTAGAAAAGGACAAACATGAGTTCTATAGCATTTAAAGAGCATGCAAGATTTTTACACTTGAGGAAAGTAGCGCTGAATTAAAAAATTAGCAAAAATGTAAACAATTGAAAGTAGTATTTTGACTTTCAAGAAAGAACACTAAAAATAACTTTATATAACTGTACTAATTGCCAAAGATAAAACGAAACAAAAGATGATTCAGGTGTCAGGCCTATGAGTTATTTTTTAAGCACATCAATTATTTCTAAAGAAATGTACAAAAAAGAGAAATATTTCTGAGATGTAATGGGCTTTCGTATACTCAGCAGTTGTTAAATCGCAGGTTTTAATTACAACTTAACCAATAAACAAATTTACATACAAGTATTCATTAAGTATTATTTTTTATAAAATCTAAGAAAATAAGTTAATTCGTTACTTCAAATCATAAATGAATGAAGACAGGAAGGACAGAAAGAAGAAGGAATGGAGATGGGAGAACGGAAAGAAGTAGCAAATGGAGAGACAAGACTGAAAAAAGGAGGAATGGAGAGAGGAATGAAAGAAAGAAGAAAGGATAGAGACAGGAAGAACGGAAAGAAGGAAGGAAAGATGGAAATGAATGGATGGATGGATGGATGGATGGATGAATGGATGGATGGATGGATGGATGGATGGATGGATGGATGGATGGATGGATGGATGGATGGATGGGAAAAGGAAGGAAAGAAGGAAAGAAGAAGGAATGGAGAAAGGAAGGACGGAAAGAAGGAAGAATGGACACGGGAGGATAGAAAGAAGAAGGAATGGAGGATGGAAAGAAAAAGAAATGGAGACAGTAAGGACGGAGAGAGAAGAAGGCAGCATTGAGACAGGAAGGACGGACGAAAGTAGAAATGGACACAAAAATACTTCATTTTACTTATTTTACTAATTTCCACCAAATTGCGGAGAACAAATTAATACGTGACTGTCAATTGACTGAAACACAGTATTTAATTTTCAATATCATGAAACAAATATTGTATTGTATGTTCTACAATAAAATTGTGTTTTTGATTTTAAGTAACACCACACTTGAAAGAGAATTTTTAACAGTATTAACACAGTGTCGTTTATTCGTCAATTTTGTAGCCTTTGACAATTGATGAGATACAAAAGAAATAACAAGTAATTGTTTTCATATCAATGTTTTTCTCGTGAGGTTATTATGGAACTGATGATTGCGTGAAGGCGGTCAAACATTTTGCCGTCCATACCGTCCACTTCTATTGTAATGCTATTTGTAATTAAAAAACCAATATCATCAGCATATAATTGTTGATGTGGAAAGAGATTCTTTTTCTCAAACGAATTGAAAATATTTGTTGTCCGCTTTCGTAATTTGTATCTTAATCACATCTTTTAATCTTTACTTTCCGCCCACAAATAAGACACATCATTTTGTAAACAATGGCACCAATATGATTTAGTGCCTCAAAAAGCAGTCAGGCTGCCTCTAGTTGTAGAATCTGTGAAAACAATTAATGAAATATTTTTCTCCACTACATACAACCTTTTTCATGGACAAGTCATTATTTGTTTGAGCAAGAAACAGTTCGCTCATTGTTCAGTACCGCTTGGTTCCCGGAACGGATTTAAAAGTATGTCTATAAGCATTATAGCTTCCTATACGTTACGAAATATTCTTTTCACTACATAGAACCTTTTTCATGGGCAAGTCATTGTTTGTTTGAGCAGGAAACGAATCTCATTGCTCAGTTCCGGTTGGTTTCCGGAACAAATTCAAACTAAAACAAATTCTGTACAAAGTGATTTAACAACAACAACAACAACAATGTCGACAAGGTCGTAACATATCTTTTTGACAAAAATACAGAACAAAGTTCCATATAAGTTTCTAGTAAACAGACAAGCCACACAAACGCGAACATTCGGTAATTTAATTTTATTGCATACGTTTCGGCTATATGCCTTCATCAGTGCAAAACATAATAAAATTACCTGAAACGACGTCAAAATGGAACACGCGTTAAACGCGCGAAAAACGTTATGGCGTTTAGCGGCAAAACTATGATAACATGTAGAAACAAATATTTATGCTATAAATAAAGCTTGTACATGAATTAAAATGGATCAACAGTGATACAGATGTCTATTAGACAGTGTTAATAAAAATAACATAATAGACAAACATATTAATGTTCATGTAACGCATTATAAATCAAACAATACTTTATTATTTAGTCCATTTGGAATCATAGTATTTAATTTATGGATCCAAAAAGATTCTTTACATAACCGGTCCATGTTGTTTTCTATAATTTCTATATTTTTATTTAAGGTTCAAGGGGCGTGCTATATATTGAATTTTACCGACACGTTAAATGGCCTCCCAGATGTGAGATCGTGATGTGTAAGTCGACTGCTATTAATTCTTTAAATAAGAAGTTTTAACACAAATAAATTTATTTTATTCACAAAGGTTAAAAACCATCGTTGATTTCACCGAACAGTTTCTCGATATGCTTGAAGTTTTTGCCTAGGCGAAAAGATACTTTTGTCTTTTGTAAAGCATTTATCTGTTTGACAAAACTTCGCCTAGACAAAAAAAAAAATCAAGCATTTTGAATAAAAAGTGATATTGCGTCCGAATTCATCGTTTTCAAGAGCCCCTTTATAAAAGATTTTGCAGTATAAAAATTGACATTCGAAAAGAACTAGACTTTTTCCCATATGTCTTTCAGTTGATTAAATACCAATAAGTGTCCCAATATTTTGAGCATATTTGATTCACAAACAACATGAACAAAAAAAAAAACTTAAAATATGTTTGTTTTATGCTAACTTTGACGAGATAAAAAAGGGTTTTCAATGTTAATCATCAAAACAGGTTAGTCCATTACTAATTTTTCATATGAAAACCAACGGTTTGTATATATTCCCCATTTTTGCAATAATAAAAATA